TCCCGGGAATTCGACAAAAATTGACAGGGTAACTAGATTTCATTAAAAGAATCCAACAGCGAGGTCCATTTCATCATTGGAGATCTAGAAAAATTTAGGTTTGTAACCTGCACCGTAGTGGCAAATTATCATTTTGCCCCTTTGTACAAAAAGTTCAAATTTACCCGTGTTTTACAGATTCTCATTTATGAATGGTTAATTTTGACTTAAATAGGGTTTTAACGTTTAGTTTTATTTTGTTGATTGAAATAATTAATTTTGAACACATGAGTGACTTGTAAAAATCTTTGTTTAACCGCATTAAATTTGGTAGTGGCAATTCATGGAGTCCCTACAATCAACATGATACCAATTTTTTCATAAATTAGTTTTGTCATCGAAATACATATTTACTAAATTTTGATTTTAGTTGAATATTCTCCGTCCATGTGTGTTTGATTAGGACTTTAGATGACTTGTAAATTAGGTTATACTTCTTATTCACGGTGAGATGAAATTTGAAGATTAGTTGGTTTATTTTAATATTGTTTCTTAGTATTTACCAATCATCTCCACTTTTGAATCAAAGGATTTTAATTTTTGTTTTAATTTTATCACCACTCGAATTTGTCCTTGTTTTCCTACGGAGACAACGTTGATATTTTTTGAGTTACTGTATAATAGAATTTCTTATACTAGTCAAGCAATTTCATACACAACCACTCTAGAGGAGAAGCAAGTACCATGGACTATTGTAAAGTCAGGACTTGTCATGGTCACCAATTTGAAAGAGTCTAGTACCCTACAGGGCGCTTGTGTATCGAGGAGCTAGACTGCATGGCTCCCCCGCCAAAGTGTTCGAATGGGGAGGCACAAAACGGTCCACGATAACATTTTGGATCACCAAACCTAGGTTTTTGCGATGCACCGTTGTCACTAGAATGCACAGTTGGCAATGATCTCAGCGCGATGGTCGGTGATTGTAAAAGGTACAGTGACAACAACGATAAGAACATTGATTGGCCAGGATGTCTCATGGTTGAAGCGCATATCTTAGCTTGCATCACCTACATTACTAGAAACTTCTATTGTTGTAGAGTTTGCTAGTCATGTAGAGTTTACACCATTGTGAAGGTCATGAGAGCCCCTAGAGCATATTGGCTTGTAGTGGATCCCTGGATCTCTTCATTTGGCGTCAATTCTAGAACTCGGTTTCTTTTTCATAGCTTCTTTCTATCATGGTATTAGATAGTGTTTTCCAATTTCTACTCGTGGCAAGCATGGATGAGCGAGGTCAAACTTTCCCTAGTGGAGTCACCAAAAGGAACATAGGTGGGGAGATAAACTAAAGTTAACACACGTGACTAACACCAATATCATAAAGGAATGAGTGGAAAAGATGGTTGAGATGAGAGAACTCGAGCTACCTCTTAATGAACGTACCAATCTTTAGGCAAAAGTTTTCCCAAGAAGGTGGAGGCAACTTAATGCACTCTCACCAGTCGGATGACCTCGTCTGGACAAAGGGTGGCGTTGCTTGCACTACGTCCTTTGGATCCCTATCTCAAACGAGTAGAGTTGTTCTTTTTGTGTCCCAATGTATTTGTCAATTTTATTCGTGCTAGCAATGTCTATCTTATGTTTTTCTCAACATACTATAGGGGTGAGTAATGACGACATCTTAGGCATGTTTGTTTGCAGTATTAGATTTAGATGGTATTAGAAATTATTTCTATTTGACTCCTATCCAAAAGTATACTATACCCGGTTTTAAACTCGTATCTCATCTTTCCCCTTGTTTGTTTGTTCAATTAGTACTATAGTAGATCCCACAAACAACCATCTATTCTATCGCATCTTATATAACAAATATATCATTTTACCCTTAATATCTTCTATTTTATTTTATCCTTAATCATCTATACAAGAAAAAAATTTTAAAAAATTAATTTTTTTTTTTAAAATCGGTAACATCGTACACTTCAATATAATATAAGGAAAAAATTAAAAATAATTTTTTTAGAAAAAATTTAAAAAAAAAAAAAAAACCTCTAATACCGTAGGCTTAAACATAATACAAGAAAAAAATTTAAAATAATTTTTTTTAAAAAAAATGGTAATATCCTAAGCTCAAAAATAATACAAAGAAAAATTTAAAAATATTTTTTTAAAAAAAAAAATTGGCGACACCATACTCTTAAATATAATACAATAAAAAATTCAAAATAATTTTTTTAAAAAAATTTTAAAAAAAAAATCAGTGACACCGTACGCTTAAATATAATACAAAGAAAAATTCAAAATAAATTTTTTATATCTGAACTCTTAATATAAGAGGACATTTGTGTCATTTTACTCGCTTATACCGTCCTCTTACTTATACCGGAAAAATAATACCACCTGGTAGGTGGTATTTCTTAGTACCATATAGAAGGCATTAAAATTACTATTCACACCGGGTCAGTACTACGACCCAAAAAATAATACCGAACAAAAAATATCAAACAAATAAAGTATAAAGTGAGCCCAACGTACTATTTTTCTAATACCACTCACTTATACCACCCATATCCCGAAAGCAAACAGCCCCTATAGCACAAGCAGGTTGAATTGCACATACAAGTCACCAGTTGTATTTATACCAAGTCAACATTGTTCGCGGTGCTTACCCATAACCACCGCAACCATTTTTGTTTGAAAACTCGTGCAGTGTGTCTCATGTGTCCCAAGTATTAATTTGGTAGATGCAACATTCCCAATATACAACTTGGACTAGCTTTTCGAGGAAGGATGTTCAGCCGTCAAGGATGGGGCGCTCATTGAATTAGAAGAATCGCGCACTGGGTTACCTGGCAATGTCATGCCCGCAAAAGGGTCATCGTCGCAGTGCCCCCATGCCGTGAACATCGTGAAGCCCCTCTTGCTCGCAGAACCCCTCCTGATTACACACTATGAAGCCCCTCTGGCTTGTTCAAGGAAAATCACACAGTTTTGATTCTCTAGTCACCAATCCAGGCCGGCTCAAGATAAATTGAGGTCTAAAGCGGTAATACTAAATCGGTAATACTAAATGAGGCCTTTTTAGTTTTATATTATTTTTAAAATTTTTTTTTTTTTTTTAAATAAGAGGATGTGATATTTTGTTTTTGTTTTTTAAGAGAGAGATTGAGAGAGAGAAATAGATATGAGTAAATGAGTTGATTTTTGAATTTTTTTATTTATTTTTAAAATTTTTGATTTTTGAGTTTCTAATATTATTGATTAAATTGTCGGCCCAAATTATTAAAATTATAATTTTTTGATTGGACTTAAATTTTTAAAATTTTTATGGATTTAAATTTTTTATATAGACTAGTAAGGAATGACAGTGGATTAAGTAAAAATGAGTATTTGTTTAAATCAGTCCCGTTTTTACTACGTATGTATCTATAATTATGTGACCTTCTAAAAATTTGGGATCTAAAGTCCATATTTTTTTTCTTAATACTATTGGGCCGGCCTTGCACCAATCCAAATGTCCCAACGTCTCATTTATTGCTCTAGACCATCGACCCCTTATAATTCAGGATCCTCCCAATCAAGCATAATCCAGTGGACAATCATCAATACAGTAGTAAATCTTTGAAGGTATGCCCGAGACTGAGGCTGATGTCCGTGTTACTCAAGTATCCCGTGAGGGGAGTTATAATTCCTTATCTCTAGGCGAGGACTTCCTCTTGATCTCTTAAACGGATAAAAGAACCGTGTACCATTAGTTAACTTTTCACTATGGGTATCTAAAGAGTGTCTTGTGCTCTCTGTGATTCAAAAAAATGAAAAGATGAAAAAATTAAAAAATTAAAACAATAAAAAGTTGAAGAAATAAATAAAATGTCATGTTTGGTGAGGAAAGAAAATAGAAAGGATGAAAAAGTTGATGAATTAACTTTTCTTCTAATTCACTAACATCAATTCCTCCAAAATCAAAAGGAAAGTAGATGAAAAGTTAATTATTTATATTGAGATGTATCTTATTTGTTTATATATCTTTTCATATCTATATAATAAAACAATAATGTGTTTGAAATTTATCTCAATCATATTTTTCCTCTCAAAATCATCATCAATCACTTATCTCACTCATCATCCATTTGTTTGACTCAAACGTCAAATCTCTTCACTTATTTCTATCATATATTTAATCATTTATATATTTCTTTCCTAAAAATATCATATCACTCATTTCTATCATATATTTAATCAGTTAATACTTGATTAATTTTTAGTTAATATATTTTGAAAGAAATTAATATAATAAGATCAATTTTTTAGATGTTCAAATTTTATATTTTATCATACCTTCAGACACGAGTTGTGACTAGTGTACATATATTATGTATACATTAATTTCATAAAAAAATACAATAATAAAATATGTATTTATATATATATATATTTAAAAAAATTTAAAATTTAAAAATAAAAAAATATATAAATATAATAAATAATAAATAATAAAAAAATAAAATATTAGTATTAAATTTTTTATTCAAAGATTATGTGGATTAACACGAATAGGAACAAGACACAAAAATAAACAGGTTAACTCGCAACTCGACACGACACAATTAGTTAAATGAGTTGANCATTCAGACACGAGTTGTGACTAGTGTACATATATTATGTATATATTAATTTCATTAAAAAATACAATAATAAAATATGTATTTATATATATATATATTTAAAAAAATTTAAAAATTTAAAAATAAAAAAATATATAAATATAATAAATAATAAATAATAATAAAATAAAATATTAGTATTAAATTTTTTATTCAAAGATTATGTGGATTAACACGAATAGGAACAAGACACAAAAATAAACAGGTTAACTCGCAACTCGACACGACACAATTAGTTAAATGAGTTGAGTTGAGTTATATTTGACTAATATTCGACACAAATCCGTAATGAATCAACACGAATTTGACACGACACGACACGACTCAATTATCACTCCCAATCTTAGATAGTATCAAAAAAAAATAGTCATTTTTATTTTTCATCCATCCAACCAAACACAAAAGAAGAAAAATGTATCATTCCTACTTTTCTCCCTCGAATAATAAAAAAATATATCCTTCCTACTATCCATCCTTTATACCAAACAGTACATAAAAGTCTTATCCTGATAGTACCTCTCAAGAATTTGCTAGGAATATATTTTTTGCTATTCGCGTGATCCCAACTGTTAGCATTTACTTCTGGGGTAGGTAGGCGAACTAAGTCACAATGGCTTTGCCCTCTGACTCTTGCAATGCCTCTCTTGTCCATTTAGGCAAATCTCGCGATGAAGGCGGCAACCTGTGTTATCACGACTAGTTAACCTCAATGTAAATGGTGGTGCTCGTCCCTTTGGAAAAATATCGAAGGGTGGTATGAACTGATCACATTGGATGTGTGCTTGCCAAGTCATGCTATAAGTCGCACGGTGAGTAGGCAAATTTTGTCTCTCCTCGGACCACGCACCTTTTGTATCCGCAACACTGCTATTGCCCCAAGGGCAAGGTGCTGTAGCTCGAGGGAAAATGTCATCTGGCCATGTCAGGTTACCACCTACCCCTCAAAATGCCATGTGTCCGCTGATAATAAGTCCATGTGTCCAAATTTATTGGGCTGTTACAACATTCATGTCACAATTTTTAATTGCAAATCAAAAAAAAACCCATAACAAGAATTCAATTTGAATTAATACTATTTTTTTCAGTTAACTTCGTAGTTAGTTCACAGGCTATAGGGAAAGCTGAATCACTTGGCTTTCCCATTACAATTAGACTGCGAAGTTCCAACCACTGCCAGAAAGTGTCACAAATGTACCAGCATGTGGAAAAGAACACAGACAGCAGCTCAAGGCTGAAAAGGCCAACATCAAGACGAGTAAACGAAGAAGCCGTCTTCTCATGTATTCATCAAGAATAGCATTGTCCTGAGATCTAGCAAACATACCCTTGCTAGAAAGGCTTGATCCCAGAAAAGAATTTAGGCATAACCATGAAAAGTAGAGGACGCGGCTTCTTCAGCTTCCCATCTGACCTTGGCATCGCTTCCAGAAGCATAAATCCTGGTTATACATTCGAATGCACAGCAGATGTAAACATAGCGTCAGCTACAAACAAGAACACAAGCAGCGCATCACTTGATATGTACATTGACCCTTTAGATCTTGTGGGTTTAACTCAATTTTGTTTACCTCCTTTGTCAGGGTTCAAATTACAGAACCTGAACCACAACACCACATGGGCATACAAGATAGACACTACAACCTCCATATATCATACCTACCAATCTACCAAGTACTAGCCTAGCAAGGGAGACTTATCCACAGTGCGAGCAAGCGAACAGTTACATACAAACCTCACAATGATAAAGTTGGATTAAGCAACCCGTTGAAATGTCCATTGCATGCGAGAACTACCTTGCACAAGGAATTGGAAGGACAGCAATTGGAAGTAAGTTACTTACCTCTTGTAATATCCATTGAGCAATTTNTGATCCACAGTGCGAGCAAGCGAACAGTTACATACAAACCTCACAATGATAAAGTTGGATTAAGCAGCCCGTTGAAATGTCCATTGCATGCGAGAACTACCTTGCACAAGAAATTGGAAGGACAGCAATTGGAAGTAAGTTACTTACCTCTTGTAATATCCATTGAGCAATTTAGCAAATTCAACACCATTCCCACAAAAGGTCACTCAAATCAGTCTTTAAATCCCGAGGCCAAAGACTAGAGGTAATATCTCCGTAACAACTTGCCTTTCCATTTCTTCCAAATCAGATAGCAGAACTTGCTAATGATAACTCATGAAGCTCGCCTAGCATCCACTCCTCCCCAGTTTGACCTCCAAGAACTATTGCNTCGAGGTAATATCTCCGTAACAACTTGCCTTTCCATTTCTTCCAAATCAGATAGCAGAACTTGCTAATGATAATTCATGAAGCTCGCCTAGCATCCACTCCTCCCCAGTTTGACCTCCAAGAACTATTGCTCTCGTGCCTCCAACAACACATGTACTGTGTCCCCAAGCAAATCTTGGAGGCCGTCCAGGTACATTTAATAATCTCCACGTAGGTTTCTCCTCAGTTGGGTCCAGTATATATAGCTGCGATGCTGAATGAAGACCAGCCACAGACCCACCAAAAACAAGGATTCTACCACCAGGGAGGCTCACTGCCACATGATCAAGCCTGGGAGGGGGAGCTATCCCTCCTGGATTTCCAGCCCCAGGCATTCCATTACCAGTTACACATCTCCAACACGGTTCCTCCTCACTCAAATCCATTGTGAACACATCACTTGAACGGAACCGCAGGGGGCCACTTTTAGCAAGACCCCCAAACATCAAAATTTTCCTACCACCATAAACAGTTAGTGTGTGGCCCAAACGAGACGGTGGGGTCCATGCTACAGGTATCTCTCGCCAAATGGGCTTCTCTATTGAGAGGTCAAGGAGGAAAGTGTCGCTAAGAAGCACACCAGAATCTGCACAACCACCAGAAACAATCAACTTGGACCCATCTAGGATACAGGAGCTGTGCCATGATCTTGGAAGTGGAGGGGCCAAGCTGGCTATTTCACGCCAAGCTGGATGCTTGGCATCTAAATCCAACACAAAGACATCATTGAGTAAGCCCTGCCTCCCACAACCTCCAAATAAAACCAAATGAGATCCGTTAACACAAGAAAGTGTGTGGCCCCAGCGCCCAGGGGGTGGAGAGCTCACTTTGACATGTTGCCACTCTGGGTTATGGGAATTTAAGTCCAATACAAAGGTGTCATTCATTGGTTGCATGTTGACCCCCTCCCCACCGAAAAGAACCACTCGATTCCCAACTGCACATGCGCTGAAGTTGCAACGAGAGGGTTCAACGGCACCTCCAACAGTTAGCTTCCTCCATGCTGCTGCTTCAAGAGTGGTCAGCTCTCTTGCCAATCTACCCCATCCTAGTCTCTTAGCTCCAGGCACCGTCTCTAAAACCCGAGTTGTTTCACTATCCCATGCATTTTGACAGACCACTCTCCACAGATCCTCATTCTTTGTCAGCTCATAGAACTGTCTGCAGACAGAACCAATAGATGCAATATCTCTTGGGGTTAATCGCGAAAGAATCTTGAGAGACAGGACTTCATCACTCAACTGTAGTATCCCACAAATCCCACAACTGCTGTTCCAATTTCCATCTGCACCTAGTCCGCAAAAAGAGAGACTAGAGCAAAACCGATTAGATGATCTCGTGGACTCCTTAGCTGAAGATCCTGGAAGTGGACCAAGATCAAGATGTGCCTCTGTGAAGAACTGAATACCTATAGTATGAGTTATTGTGTCCTCATCATCATATATAGGCACCATACGCAATCGATTCATCAATGGGGATCCGTCCTTCCTAAAATTTAACAATTCACCTTGAAATTCAACCCCAGCCTCAAGGCATCTTCTTATTTCTGAAACTACCGTGGAATCCACCAGTGGGTGCCTTCTTTTGGCATATGGTCCTCTGCATTGCAAGAAACGACTGCCAAAATATCCAACACAATTTAAAACAAAGAATTACTTTCAACAAACACTATATACTCAAAAACAAATACAACATTGATAGAGCACAAAAAATTTCTGGCCACAAAGTAGAAGTAATCCTTTCAGCTGATGGTTTGCCAAGCAAAGCAAAGCAAAATAATGGAATACCTAACATAAAACCAACTCTGCATAACATATGGGTACCTAATAGATGTATAGAGCAATACGAATTTGACTCTGTATATATATGAATATGAGGACCTACGTTAGTATCACAAGGCCAAAAACGATGTGATTAAGTTATATTTCCAATGTTCTATAAGGACAACATTTCTTTTCAAATCATCCAAATGGTAACAGATATACAAAACCAAAATATACAAACCATGGAAAAATTAATGCTTTTAGTATTTGAAACCTGAACTAGGCAAATCCAAGCCACAAGCACTCCTTGCCAGAATCCAATCTCCAACATTAGTACATAAAGCGTTGGGGAGCTAGGGATATCAGTGATCTCATTTTGGTGATCCTACAATTCGTTGTCCAGTTGTCTTGATGCATTATATGTATCTCAGTTACAAAGGTTAACAAACATCATATTCAAGTTTGAGAAAACCCCTATCATCTGAGCATGCAACAGATTTGCATATATTCTATTCATCTGACACCACTAGTAATGGCCAATATCATTATTACAAATCTTAACATGTAAGCAAGTCACATCGTANATGTTTGAGAAAACCCCTATCATCTGAGCATGCAACAGATTTGCATATATTCTATTCATCTGACACCATTAGTAATGGCCAATATCATTATTACAAATCTTAACATGTAAGCAAGTCACATCGTAGTTTCCCCTCTTTACAATTGCAAGCATTTCTCATGGAAGTTTTACATAACTAAGGTGCTTCAAATTGTGTAAGACCAGTTACATTTGTATTGACCTAGATAAGAAACCTATGCTATGCATGCATTGTTCAAGGTTGCAATATCCACCATTAACTCGGAGAGAAATGCACATCAGAAGCCGCATCACGGAATAATAATGACAGTACACGTTTAATACTAGATAGAAGAAGAAATTGAATATGGCGACAGATTCAATCATATTGCAGAGTCGTGAGACATTGAGTGATATACACCAATGCAATGACTTGGACAACTAGATTGAGTCGTCCGAGACGTCTCTGATCAACCATGAGACAAGTGACACCCATGGTTTACACAAGACATGGAACGATATCCGGATAAAAAATGCTATGTTGGATACGACTAGAACAATTCTTAACAGACAAGGCCAATTCATAGAACCATGAGTGCACACAATTTATCCTATTGTTAGCCAATACAAAATGCACGAGCTAAGGGTGGGAGAGAATTCCGATACCAAAGAGAGACCAGAAGAAAGTTCAAAAACTTTTTGACGATGTGGCAATTATATAATTTTTAATTTTATATTTCTCCGCAAAAAGTAGCTCATACTTTACCTTCAACTTCTTAAAAAAGAAGGAAAGAATTTGAGCATTTGACCAGAATGCATGGTTTAACATCTCAAGCAACAAATGGCTGCCAGTAATTATGGTCTACACCAAAATAGTACTTAATATATTTCATGTACTATTTCCTATACAACTTCATGATGTCCAATAGAATTTAGACTGCTGAGGGGAAGAAGAAGAAACCATTTTCAAGCACACTTGTTACTATTTCATATAATGCTTTAAAATTGGTATGTTTGGACCCAGCTTTTTTATGCTGTTTTGCCCAAGCAACATAAAATAGCTTCCCTTATTTGGGCCTCAACTTTTTCACTAGCTTTTATAATGGCTTTTGACCTAAAAAAGTCATTTTGAAAGGCTTTTTATTGACTTTTTCCCTACAGTTTTAAACCTATACTTCGCAATCAAAAAAGTCAACTCTAAACANTTTTGACCTAAAAAAACCGTTTGAAAGGCTTTTTTGAAGCTGTTTTTACCGGTTTTTAGGAGGCTTTTTCAAAGGTCTCACTTAACTTTTTAGTTTATTATATTCATGAAATATTATTAATCACATAAAAAAATTTGAAATTTATATTTGAGAACTTTTAGGCGCAATCTATACACACGTCATTATTTTTTTATTTTGACACAAAAATCAAAAAAAGCTAGAAAATCTCCCAAAATGGGCTTTTCTAATTTTATCAACTTTTTTTAGAACACCCCAAGAGCTTTTTAGAAGCTAACTTTTTCACTACATATTCAACTCTCTATTTCACACCCAAAAAAATCAACTTCAAACAGGCCCAATGTTCAAGGGAATTCAGACTGTCACGGGCAACAAGAAAACAAACTTTTTTGTTCCCTACTTTTGGCTAACAAAAGGTTTATAGTCACTTCTATTCGTTTGACATAGCCCCACAACTAGAGAGGGCAGTGAACCGGGAAAATGGGTATTTGTTCAAACCCGCTTCGTTTAAATCGGAGATGGACTATACGTATTGGACGTATACAGGAATAACTGTATAAATCCGTGCGGGGATGAAGGTGGGGATGAACTTATCCTTACCCCGACCCCGTCCCCGTCCTGTCCCTGTTATACCCTTTATATATATATATAAACTCCCAGTTAAACCTAAGGCCTCTTCCTCTATCAGCAACATCGTCTGCCTCTCTCTCTCTCTCTCCCTCTCTCTCCTCCCTCTAAGCTAAATCGATGTCCGCTGATCGTTGCACTCCTCTCAACGGCGATTGCTCCTCTCCTCACAGCGCTCAACGCCAACTACTCCTCAACGGCAACGCCAACTACTCCTCTCCTCTCAACGTACAATAAAATGGTAATTTTGTTCTCTTATAACTTCTTCTTTTTAGTGTTTTTCTATGATTTTAGTCCATTTGAGCTTCTAGGTACATGGCTTGTAAATTACAGCTCTAAATTTAAAAGAAAGCGAAAACTTAAGACTACAACTTTTCATCAAATACACTTTTAATTCATCTATAGGCCTTAATTAAGCTGACAAGATCCTATTAGTCAAAGTTAAAAGAATTATTTAGCCTGTTATAGACTTCTTGTATGAAACAATCAGTTGTGGAACTTTTTACTAAATAATTTGGAAGAGTTTTTACCTTCTTGTCCGAACCTCAAATTGAGGCTAGACTGTCATTGCGATAAAAGCTTGTAGTTAGCCTTGTAATTCCTTATTTCTATCGTGCCCTTTATTTATACTGTCATTTTGTTTTGCTATAATACATTTTCCCTTCTTTGTCAGTGACAGAGCCATAGTGCGAGCAATGGGGACAGTTGCCCTCACGGTGATTTTGACAAATTTTGGGGTCAGCCCAAAATTTTGATTTTTTAAAAAAAAATTTAAAATTTGTCCCCACTAAAAANCGATCGTGCCCTTTATTTATACTGTCATTTTGTTTTGCTATAATACATTTTCCCTTCTTTGTCAGTGACAGAACCATAGTGCGAGCAATGGGGACAGTTGCCCTCACGGTGATTTTGACAAATTTTGGGGTCAGCCCAAAATTTTGATTTTTTAAAAAAAAATTTAAAATTTGTCCCCACTAAAAATGGTAAAAACTTTAGGGGCACTTCAGCATTTTAGAAAATAAGTAGATAAAAAATTATACTTAGAATCCAATATTTGGAATCTTTTATATTAATTTGGATTATATTAGCATGAACTTGGGCTTGGGCTTAGGCTTAGGCTTAGGCTTAGGCTTAGGCTTGGGCTTGGGCTTGGGTTTGGGCTTGAAAAGCGGGTACGAGAGAAACAAGGATGGGGATTAAAAATTTACCCGCGGTCGGGGATGGAGATGAAAATTATACCCATTAACGGAGATGGACGAAAATTTTTTAAGCGGGTACGGGAATGAAGAATATACCCTCCACCTCCGCTTCAGTCCATTGACATCTCTACCCACAACATAATCAAAATACAAAAAGACCCCTTCAAAGCTCTTCTAAAACAACTGCACTTCAAGAGACCAAAGCAAAATACTCCTCATACTTCCTCGATTCCTCTACTAGAAGTACAAATGTAAACCTACATCTATTAATAGATTATTGCTTTTTGATTGTAAAATCTATTAACCGATTAAGATAGTCTGTTGGCTTTCTCATCAACAAGATTTTATTCTATGATGCTTGTATCTTTCTCCTCTTTTTTTTTTTTTTTTTGGTTGATTATGATGCTTGAATTTGAAAGCCCTAAATCACGAAGGAAAAGGCAAATGCTACATCTAGGTCACAATCCTCAAGTTTCTCACATGGGTTGAGTCCCTAGTTCTCCCAATCAACTTCATGATCAACAAATGAGGTTGGTAGCCAGTTCTAGCTTAAGGAAATTTATGTAATGTCTGCAAGTCTCACGAATGTGTTTGATAAATGGGCAAAAAGCCTATGTAGTAAGCGCACACTTCACAGACAATAAGAAGATGAGTTAATATGTCACTCTTCTTGAGATATACATCAACACGTCAAAGGAGTAATAACTCCTGGTTATTATCCTCCACCAATTTCTTCCATGTAACCTTTGGTCAGAGATACAAATTCTTCAATGACTTGTAGCCTTACAACTACATACAGAAGTAGCCACAACTTGTAAACCTGCAACCACACCAATATACTAGGCAGGGTCCTGATACTAGAGATAACCAATTCACATGGGTTTGAGTTATCATTAAGAAGGAAAAACATGGTGCATGAACAACATTGATGAGGGTCTAGAGTGCATGACAGCCAGTATAACCAGTGTTACTACGTGAAAACAAGTTGGACAGGTAACTTCTGAAGAAAAATAAACTGAATTTCTTGATCCAAATTACAAAGACTGGGAAAAAAATTAAAAGTATCCACTAACAACCTTTTCTAGGATTTCAGTAAGGAAAGAATGTTTGATTGTCCATATTATTCTCTTAAAATTCATGCCCTTCCCAAATCAATCAAAACAGGGAGAACTTAGTATCATTACTATACAATAGTTTTTGCTTTACATCTAAACCTTATCCACCCAGCACCATATGTACACCTATCTAAAGCTTTCTAATATTTCAAGGCGTTCATCCCCTCCTCTATTGCCCAAAAAAAAAATCCAAAACAATAAAAAACACACTGGAGGCCACCCACCTTCTGTCTATGATATCAACCGAAGTTTGGATACAAGCATAATCTAGTTTTGGGTCCGCCTATTGGTTAGAAACAAAGGAGCTGTCAAATACAATCACATAGTCCCAGGGTTCAAACAATTGATTGAGTCTCATTCCACTTGATAGAGTGATATCCAACTTGGCCCTTTTCACTCTGATATCATTTCAGTCATGTAAACCACAAATCTCAATCGACTAATGGCTGACTCGAAGACGCCTTGGTCAACTTGATGAAGTCACCATCGTCAAATCGCAAAGCATCAACTACGAAAATTCTGCAATGTCATGATATGACCTAAATCTCTTGTCATGTTCACTTCTTTTATTAGTTATATTACGTAAAACTTTTGATATCTTTTGATACCATTCCATGATGACGCAACGCAACCAATATATCTTAAGGTCATCTGAATCCAGATGGTTGTCACTGCAATCTAAAACATGTTGTGGTGCTTAGGTGGCTCCATCCACTGGTACTCTAAAGGACGGAGTACCTCTTATCAAGCCAACAAAATAGTGTAGCTCTAATTTTCTACAGCCACTTTTTTTTAGTCTCCTACATTATGGAGAAAAAGGGTTCTTAAGCATGCTAAAAGTCCACATACAAGTTAAATTACAATCAATAAACAAAGGTTCCTACCCATTCCACAAAAATAACATCAACTATAAAAAAGAAAAAGAAAAAGAAAAAGAAAAATCTTGCACATCACAATTGAGGCCCCAAAAAGCCCCCAATGTCCCTAATCTAACACTTACTNACAATCAATAAACAAAGGTTCCTACCCATTCCACAAAAATAACATCAACTATAAAAAAGAAAAAGAAAAATAAAAATCTCGCACATCACAATTGAGGCCCCAAAAAGCCCCCAATGTCCCTAATCTAACACTTACTACATTCATCTATACTACTTTAAAATGTCAAAATAATTGAAAAACATTTTTTTTCCATTTACACCCTCCAACAATGAAAGTATTACATTCTTATCTTTTAAAATCAATGGCATATTAAACCTAAAAGCCTTTATGCTACTGCTGTTACAACACTCTCTCTCTCCCCTGCGCAATTATGCACAATTACTAGCCGGTTAAAAACAAACAAACAACCCTCTTTTAACATTCCCCCTCTTCGTCTCGCTCTCTAATGGTCTCTTAGTGGATCTACAGATTATTGGGCTTTACTCTACAGAGCAAGTGTTGCTCCTTAAGTCATTATCTTCTCTGTAAATTTCTTTAATTACAAAAATTCACTTACAAAATTAAGCAAAAACTGTAAAGCTTCTTAGTGGCTCAACAGTGCAGTGGCAACTGAAGCCTAGTTCTAATCACTATCCTGAGGCTATAGCATGTCAAGAGTCAGGTGGGTCTCATGTTCATCATTGTCACTTCTTCTCCGTCTCTGAAACCCAACAAGAAGATAGCTTTTTTTTTTGTTTGTAAAATCAAAATAAGAAGATAGTTGACTTCTGTTGACATGATTGTTTCTTCATATCCGGGAGCTTAGGTTTGGATTCGTGCCAATCCTCTTCATTGAATAGCAACTTAAAAAGGTTGGTGATAGCAATTTGATTCATTTATTACACCATACATTTTATTTTCTTTAGAAATTTCTTAAATTGGTTTTTAATTAGGATTACATTACTTTCAAGCTTTAGTATTTCAAGCAGGACTTCTAGAGGTCGGTCGATTGCATAAACGGTTCATTGAATATAGAAAAGCATTGTACTTTGAGGGGTAATCAAAATGCAAATATGTGGTTTGTCTTGTTATTTTGGTTGGTTGGATCTATTGTCCTTTTTCTAAGTTGGTGTTCTATTATCACTTAGTTTTGATTTGTTAGAGTATCTTCAACTCTCACTCTTTTTTAAATCTAAATTTAAATTTGGATAAAAAAATCCTAAAAAACTCTCTCTAATGTTATAGCTAAACTCATATCAAATCAAGAAAGATTTAAATTTTTACTCAAATCTAGATAAATTCAAATCTTTACTCAAATCACCAATGATTAGATTTTATTCTTATTTAAATTTGAGGTTGTCCTCTTTAACTTTTTGAGTTTTTTAATTGGAATATTTTGTATCAAGTTAAAATTTTTATTCAAATGTTGATATTTCATTTAATCGGTTCTTGTTTCTTGGATGATCAGTTTTTAAACCTGAGCTTCATCAATTTCAAGACTAGAGAAACCTTGAATTTGTGGTTGAAGTGGTGTCTATCCTAATCTCTCTCCTCTCTCTCTCCCTCCCACTCCCCCTCCTCTAGGCCAATCTTTCTATTGTGTTTTTTATCATTCCCCAGAGATCAACTATTTGTAGACTACAAAAAGGGATGGCAGCTATGTAATTGGATTTTCTATTTTGTAAAACATATACACCCACCCAAATACACTGGATTACCCTGCTACATAGGAATTTAGCAAGAGACAAATAAAATTTTGTCATCAACAAAGTTATGATCTTGCTTATGACGAAATTATTCACGATCATGCTTATGATGAATGGGAGTATAAATATAATTTGATTTATTTTTAAATTTTTAAAATTGAATAGGTTCTGTCACTAGGTTGAACTCTATAAATTATTAGGCTAATTATGATTGCTAAGGTAGTTATGTGTATTGCTAGATGGATCATCAATAATTTTGGATTGCTTCCACNCCGTCACTAGGTTGAACTCTATAAATTATTAGGCTAATTATGATTGTTAAGGTAGTTATGTGTATTGCTAGATGGATCATCAATAATTTTGGATTGCTTCCACCTATAGTTTTCCCTTCTATTTACTAGAAGTACATGCTTAGACTTGCCTCAAGAGTCTATACTGATTACCACTTAGAGAAGGATACACTTTGACCAATGTATCGGTACCGGAGGCAAGTTTCACCATTCTTTGTTGCTTTAAATTTTTTGTGATTAAAGGAAAAAAAAATGAACCCCTCAAAAATTATTATTATTATGACAATGAAATTATTATAACAGCAACTTGCACCATATAATTTGAACAAGGCATTTATGTTGAAGCTTCTTCTCAATGTGGTTGGTTTGTCAATAGTAACTATTTACTATGACAAATCACATATAGGAACACAATGAGTTTTAGTTCAGAAGTAAACCAAACACCTTTTTTTTACAGTTGAACTGAATTATAGATGGTTTCAAGTAGTTATCCTTAAGTAAAAAAAACTTGATACAACAACAACATAATCATTTGGATAAATCGCCAGGTATGGTTTTGTTCTTTGAATAAATAAGTTGTATATATCATTATTTAGATTTTGGCTAATATTTATTTACTGAACACATGGTGTTACCTCTCTGCAAAGTTTTCCATTGGCTTGAAAGATGATAATTGATAAGTTGGTATTAAATTGGTACTGTGGGCTCAATTTATGGAGCAGTATGTTTTCATTGAATAAGGCATAATAATTTGGCAATATGAGATATTTTTCACTTTCAAAATCGATTTAGTCAGGCTTATAGGCACTTCAAGAGTGCACATTTTCTTGATGTTTTAGTGAAATCCCAATAGTTTGATCACATAGGTATATCACTGGATGGACAGTAGACTTTGTTTAAATTAATCAAGATTCTCGAAAAGACATGAAGTAAGATCATTAAATTTGTTCAAGCAAATTGGAAAATAAAATAAAAGCTTATAACAAATGCATAGATTGTAAAACGTTTGCTAAAGTAAACATCATCGAATTTCGTACGATATAAATCATAGTGTTGAATAATGAATGAAAAAGGTCATCTCTTCTCTTGGGTTTCTATATGGTCATATCCAAAGAGAAAAGTGAGAGTTTGTACCTAATGGTTTTGGTGTTTCTTGTCCACTATGAGTAGGAGATTAGTAAAAGTGCGTGCCTACATTGTGGCAATTCTTTTAACTTGGTTGGGTTCCATTCACAATTTTGCTTAAATAGCTAAGCAATTATCGTTAGATTCTCAAAGATTAGTGACAAGACTTCTGCTGTCAAAGATTCACCAATATCAGCAAGTCGTGTTATATGAAGTCCAAATGGAAATTTTTGGGTTAGTGCATATCAACTGTTTTCCATGTTTCGAAAGGTGCCTGTGAGTATGAGTTATAATATATCTAAAGACGCCAAAGTATCTTCGGTTCATCCAGTGATCAATTTTCGTACTACTTTTTCTAAAATGTATTAGTTCACTTATAATAGGAGGGCGTATATTGGCATTTTTTCACCTTGAATGTCCCAACAACATCAAAAACAATGGTTACAACATGTACTTCAATTTTTTTTCCAAATTAAAGTGTAAAAGTTGTAGATGCTTTTTCCTTCTCTCTTTTGGAGTAGATTAAAATGAGGTAATGTAACTATCACTGGATTGAAGAAAACTTCGTGCACTCTAGCCTTTATATATTTCAAAGTGCCTAACCCCAAGACATAAAAGAAAACACTTCTAATATGCATTTGGAGAAATTTAAGAAGATATGATATATTATTGATATTGTTCTTTTTTCAAATGAACTTAAATGAGCTAAAAGGTATTGATATTTATTTGTTTGAAACATTTTTTCCAGATATCCTTATTGTGATAGAGGTGCAGTGTTCTCTCAATAACACAAGAAAGTGTGTGAACTTCTCCATAAGCTGTAAAATGCCAATCGAAAATGGTGAAGAGAAGATGTGAAAGCCAATGAGAACGTTGTACATATTTGTTGGACAATAACATGGTTGGTTGGTCGAGAGAATAAAGACTCAACAGCCAATTGAAGTCCTTATGAACAAATAGAGAGTTCTTGATACGAAAAAAGAACAAAGCTGCCTAAGGATTAAATGAATAATTACAAGAACTTTTGGTGCAATGTAAGGATATCATGGTCTAGGAAGAATAATGGATATGAAGGCGCAGGAAGAGAAACTCAATATGCAATATTTCATATCAATAGTGTTCACATGCAACCCATGTGTGCATCAACTAGTATAATTAAAGTATGTGCTGATTTCTAAAGTGAAAAGCCATAACATCAACCAAAACAACAAAAGTCACCAAATTTTGCACTCTAAATCATCCAAAATACTAAAAAAAGAATCCATTTTCAACTTCGAAGCAGATGGAATATTCTCAAAACATTTACATTTAACACAACTCACCAGTTACGCCCGAGAATCTCTTCGGCCCGATATCCCGACACCATCTCAAAAACCGAATTGACGTAAATAATCGGTTGGTCGGGCTCCAAAGCGTCGGTGACGACAAATCCGCACGGCGCCGGTTGAAGCAACAAGTCGATTGGGAACGGGAAGGGTCCACCATCGTTCAACAAGAACCCCTCTTCGTCTTCGCTCACATCGGAATTGCTATCCCACTCCATGTGCCTCTTGTTGAATCTCTCTTTCTTTCTTCAACCCATCACCTGAAAGGGGTTTTCAAGACTTTCTGGGTATGTCTTTTTCTTCACCTCTTCCGTTTTCTTCAATAATTTGGAGAGGAACCTCGAGATTTCTTGGTAGAGAGAAGAACCATGGGGATGTAAATGGAAACTAGAGAGAAAGATAGAGCTGGTGGGGGTTAGGGTTTCAGGGTCTAGGGTTTGGGGAGATTGGGGGAAGTGTGTACGTGAGAGAAAAAATGAATGGTTGGCGAAGATTGTAACATATTGGGAACTTGAACCCGNCTGGTGGGGGTTAGGGTTTCAGGGTCTAGAGTTTGGGGAGATTGGGGGAAGTGTGTACATGAGAGAAAAAATGAATGGTTGGCGAAGATTGTAACATATTGGGAACTTGAACCCGGTTAAGGCTGATAGGGTCGAGTACTTTTATCGGGTCGAATCACACTGTTAAAGGTGCCGCTTGGGACAAACGCAATTTACAGAAACATGGCATCTTTTTTTTTTGAACAGACAAGCATGGCATCTTATTATTATACGATATGATCAAAAAAAATTATTATACGCTATATGACTCGACAATGCAAGTGGACCGGGTTGTAGGAAAGAAATGTGAAAACAGACGGATCCTGGGGCGGAAGTGAAAGTTGGACACAAAAAGTAACGTGAAAATAGAAATCCAATATATTCTATCAACTTTTTATCTCAAAAAATACAAGCATATATTTTAGGGTAAATTACATTAACACTCCCCTGATATTTAATTTTGTTACACCGACATCCCTTCACATTTTAAAAATAAAATCGAACTCTCTTGACATTTAATATTTGTAGCAACCATACATCCTCTAACTAACAGACATTAAAATTATTCACCGTCAAAGTTGATGTCATTCACAATGATTCCTAAAATACCAAAAATACCCTCCAAAATTAAATTTAAAAATTAAAACAAATATTTTTCTTACCCTACGAATTTACCAAACCTCTGATTTTTTTTTAATCTATATATTTCATATATAAATTAAAATTTAAAATTTAACACTGAAATGTTTAATTTCCTAATCTATTACATTAATAAGTTAATTTTTAAATTTTTTTGTTTATTAAATAATATTTAGGATTATTAGTACAGTTTAAAAATTAATCAATTTTTTCAAAATCTTAATAATTACCTATCCAATTATACCATATTAAATTTATTCTTATTTATCATTTATCTAATTACATAAATTCTTACTCCTATCACTCATTACCACCAGTCCACCACCTAAACCCACCCATCACCATTGGTTCCACCACCTAAACCTACCAAAACTTCCAAACCCAGCTAGACCCACCAAAACTTCCAACCAGCCAAACCCACCACCACCATAGAGATAGAGAGGAGAGACTAAAACAACAACCCAATGAAACCACCTTTGTCTCCGCCACCACTAAATCCACCACCCCCTCTCTCTCTTTTGTGTGTATATATATATATCTCTGTGTGTATCTATACATATGCCCTCCTCTTTAAGGTTATCCACCAGAAAGGTACTCCAAGGACGTATACCCTCCACCTGGGTACCCACCACAAGGCTATCCTCCCCAATACACCCCTCAATATGCCTAACCTGCACCCCCTCAGCAACAATCATCTCCCAGCAGTGGTCTCATGCAAAGCTTTGGCTGCTTTGTGTTATTGTTGCCTATTAGATGTCAGCTTTTGATAAGAAAACTTGGTAGAGGAATTTGTTCGATCATTTGGCATAAAAATTGAAGCCCTACATTAGGGGCCTCTAAAGGGATTCTTATGATTCTGGATTTCTGCTTTCAATTAAAATTCTAGTTTTTGGGTAAAAAAAATAAAAATATATATATTCTCTATGTGTGTGTGTGTGTGTGTGTGTGTGTGTGTATATATACACAGAGAGAGAGAGATAGGATGATGGAGAGAGAAGTCTGATGATTTCGAATTGATTCTTTGCCAAGAAAGAGAGAGAGAGAGAAAGAAAAAGAAGGCGTTGGGATCTTGGTGCAAAGGACGACGAATATTAGGGTTNGTTTCTTATGATTCTGGATTTCTGCTTTCAATTAAAATTCTGGTTTTTGGGTAAAAAAAAATAAAAATATATATATTCTCTATGTGTGTGTGTGTGTGTGTGTATATACACAGAGAGAGAGATAGGATGATGGAGAGAGAAGTCTGATGATTTCGAATTGATTCTTTGCCAAGAAAGAGAGAGAGAAAGAAAGAAAAAGAAGGCGTTGGGATCTTGGTGCAAAGGACGACGAATATTAGGGTTGGGGTTAGGGATAGGACTTGGGGTTTGGGTTTGAGTTTGTGTTAAAAAGAGGGGCAAAATAGTCTTTTATTAAAATAGTTAACTCTGTTTAACCATTGGGGTCTTAGTGTAATTATTGAAATGCGAGGGGGTGTATGTGTAATAAAACCAAATGTCAGGGGTGTGAGTGTAATTTATCCTATATTTTTAAAGTTATCAAGGGCATGTATATACAATATATGAGTTGTTGTAAATATTATAATTAAATGGGTGAGCCCATTACTTTCTACTCTTTACTATAGGCAAGTAAATTGTATTGGTGTCTAACCCCATAACCCCCCACTTCTTGTTGCGCTCGAGTAAATATTTGTAATCATTACCTTTAATTCTCATTAAGATTGGAGGCCTATAAAATGAGGCTTTCACCACAATGATATATATAAGTTGAGAAACTATTTCTCTAGTATTTCTATATTCTCTTGTCTGTTTAAAATTCTATGTTTTATATTTACTTAGTTTCATAATTGTTACTTAAGCAAAGCATGAGATAAGCACCTACATACACAATATTTGTAGTTTACATCTCTCATAAATATCTCGCAATTGATAGCAGAGACAATCTTTTACTCTGTTTTTTGTTCAATGATGGAATATACGTGAATTAGATTTTCATAGTTCATGAGTATTCATGCCTAATAATATATTAATCACAAGAATGTGGGTATTGCCTTTTTATATATTATTTCTAATAATTACATATGCAATCAAGTAGGTGTTATTTATACTTACAGGTTATGTAATTTACATTATAATTGAGATTGAATAGATTTATTTAGGCATCACACAATATGTAGTATTTAATGCATATAACATATAATGCATAATGAATGTAATGGCTTTACCCAATCCACCCTTAAGTTTAAGGTAATTGGAAACGTAAGGTCTGATACCAAGCTGTGGCGCCCCCAAAATTCAGGAGTCTTTTCTCAACTCGTTGATCACCCATCCACTTGCAAAAAATATCCAAGAATACCGTATAACCCGGTACCACGTCATTACGCCCCATTATTGGGATCATACAAAATAGACTGTGGACAAGGTCTCCTTTATATGGGAGCCCTACCAAATACATAACTTGTGCATACAGTAATCATATGACCATTCTAAGGTCCAAAGCCCAATGATTATGATTTATTATTCTCCATTTACATCATCCAAGAATAGCGCACAAGATATGAAAGTTCGGCAATGTTCCATTTCAAATTTTCAATTTTTGGGAAGAGGTATCGATACCTCGTGTACGTGGTACTGATACCTAAGCCTTCTACTTGTCAGGTACCTGTACCTATAAGCATTGGTACCGGTATCTGAGCTCATTGTCTACGAGGTATTGATAAATGGGAGCATAGATACCGGTACTTAAGCCCACTAGAATCCAAGTACTGGCAGCTGTAACTCTAGGTACTGGTACATGGGTCAGTCGACAGTGTGGTACCAGTAGCTATGAACCTGTGCCTAAGCCTAGATTTTCCCCAATCCTTCCAATTTTCAATTCATCTTCATCCAAACTCATACCATATTCGATACATTCATTCATTTCCATGAAAACATTGCTCAATAAAGTCCCTTTATGTACTCCATTACCAATATACAAGTTCAAAAAAAACTTAAATGATTGATTTACAAAATGGAATTCAAAAGCCACATTGCAGCTCCGTTATCAACAAGGGCCTAAGTGAGGGCCGTCTACCGGCGCTTGTCCAACACCTAAAATATATTCCTACAAAGGGTGAGCCATACTCAATAAGGTATTTCCTAAGGAGGCTACTCCTCAAACCAGATGCATATGAAATATCACATGCAATTCTTCACATCAAGCATTCATTCAAGAACATACATTTCATAAATAAATGCTAAACTTTTCATGCAATTTCATGAGATAGAACTCACATGAAGTGTAACCCCGAGCCCTCCACTGACTCCCATAACACGAGCAATGTCATGTGTATGCATCCGAGCATTCCAAGCCCCCGCTATTGATAATAGACATCCAATGATCATTTTATAAAATCTTGTGTCTTTCTTGGGGTGAGTATTTATGAACTTTCACCAACAAGTACCCAACCAACACGACATATATGGACATGCACTAGCAGCTCCAAGTACGCTGACAAATTTTATGGACTCAATACCAATGAGAATGCATATCTGAAATTATCAGGTCATGTACTCGAGAGAGAATCTAGCTCTTCTTGCTAACTCCGACACATATTTTCAATGCAACCCGTGTAACTTAGTCGAACCTAGGTCCAACCTTTTGGAATTCACGTATCAACCCACCAAGGACGATGTTTAATCAAAATCATACACACACACCCACACTCATGTCGAATGCCCACAAATGCAATGCTACCTGTGCATATGCAAATGTAATGTAAAATTACAGCTACAATATCATGTTTATCATATCATGAGCATATTATGAACATATTCAATTTTCACAGCGTTCCTAATTTCTTAAATGTCAATTATATCATAAAGCATATAATAATATTTTCCAACACCACCAATCATCCATGGGCATTTTATCAAATACCTTCTAGGCACAATTGTAAACACAAAGCATGCCCAAAAAACACATTCTTGATGAACTTCAAAGCCAAACAATTTCATCATACCAAATTATATAAGAATTGGTATTAGCATTTTCTTATACTCATTTTTCACATTTCAACGACACAAGGTATGTGGTAAACATGAGAATACATCTCTAACACCCTACCCATTTTATATTTTAACCCTAGGTTAGAAATAATTCTAGTTATGAAAGGAACTCCACCTCTTGTAGCGTATATTCGCATAGGAGAAGCTTCAAAGATCCTAAATCAAGCTCTCAAAGCTTTATCCCAAAACTCCCATCTTTGAGATCTCAAAGAAAACT